CCCAGCCCTCCTAATTACCTTCTTAATAGCAGTGTAAGTATGAATTATTTATTATCGTCTGCATCAGTTTTCTATTGCTTTTGTAACAAATGATTACAAATTTGGTGCTTTAAACCAACACAAATTTATTATGTAACAGTCTTGGAGGTCAGAACTCTTATCAGGATTCTCACTGAGAAAAAAATCAAGATGTCTGGCAGGGCTGCATTCCTTGAGGAAGTTCTCAGGGAAATTTATTGTCTTCCTTTTTCAGCCTCCAGAGGCAGCTCCCATTCTTTGGATTGTGACCCCTTTGTCTTCAGAGTCAGCTATGGCCAATTGAATCTCCTGGTGTGTCACTCTGACACTCATTCTCCTACTTCTCTCTTCTACTTTAAGGATCCTTATAATGTCATTGAACTCATTCAGATAATGCAGGATAATTTCTGCATCTCAAAGTCTTTAAGTTAATGGCATCTGTAAAGTGCTATTTGTGATGTAACAACAGATTCAGGAGTTCCAAGATTAGAATATAGGTATCTTTGAGGAGGGGCAATTATTCTGCTTAACACATTGTCACTTGGTACGATTCTAGACACATTACCCCTGTCTTGGAAACCCTGAGCTAGTCAGCTTTTTCATTGCTGGAACAAAATTCCTGACACCCACACCTTAAGGGAGCAGAAGTTTAGTTAGCTCATGGTTTGGGGGACTTAGTCCATGGTAACTGACTTTGAAGCAGAAATGGCATGGAAGAAGGGCATGGCAGGGGAAGGCTGCTCACTTCACGACAGCCTAGAAGTAGAGAGAGAAGGAAGAAGTTGGGGAAGCAGTTATATCCTGCAAAGTCATCCCCCAGTGTCATGTCCCTTCCAACCAGACTCCTCTTCCTAAACGCATATTTAGCAATGAACTCATCGACGGGTCAACACACTAGCGAACAGAGTGCCCCCATTATTCCATCATCTTCTCTGAACACATCAGATTTTGGGGGGATATTCTAGAGCCAAACCATAACAAACCCCTCTCACAGCTTTCAAATGTGTGGTACATTATCACATTCTGGGGAGGAATTCCCTGTGAATAATTTTATCTCTTATTTTCCCATCTCAGAGCTTTGTTCGAAATGTGGGAAAAATGCTCTTTTGCATAAAGTGAGCAATGAGTTTAGATTATTACTTCATCTGCATACAAACAGCCTGAAAATAAGCAGACATTGACATCTCTGGACAGGCTAAAAATCTATATTTGTTGCTGGTAGATGATCATTAAACTAAGAGAATATACATTATACTCCTGTCACTAAAATTAGAACAGTAGAACTGTATCTTGTGAGAAGATAAAATTCAGTGACAGCCAAGGAAATTGAGCCATTATTAGTTGGATCTATCTTAAGACCGAAGGGGTAGGGGCAGAGAGGCAGGATTAGGGACTCCAGAATCTACATCTGGCTAAGGCAATTTTCTTCATTTTCCTAGGGTGATTCAGCCTATACAATTAAGCAAGCCCAGGGGCCTAACACATCAACTTGCCATCCATATATTTTCTGTCTCAGCACTGCTAGTGTTTCTGGAATTATTTATGAAGGCACTTTTGCTATATTTACACAGCATGCAGCATTGTACAGAGCAGGCTGCAGATTATTGTCAATGAATAATGCCCTAGAAGCTACTAACCCTTTGTGCTGAGGTCTAATAACTGAATCAGCAATAGCTGTTTCACTGTGTCCTGCTTAAGATTACAGCACAGCCATAAATAAGCTACCAGCAGCAGGATCCATTCGACATCAGCAAACTACAGGTTCATATTGTTCCCTGCTACACTATAAACAATGTTCATCACTAAGATTTTTTTAAAGGTGATGAACTTCAAATAGGGACACTAGGATTTTCTGAAATCTCATTGTGCTTGAATCAAATCATTTGACACATACATCAGATCTTGTTTGGGAATTTACCTATAAGAAGTGATAAAAACGACTTCTGAAAAGCAGAGATTCTTGCACTGTTGTTCTTCTCTGTAAGTTATTAAGAATTGCATGGAACATTACCCTCCCATACAGCTTCTGCTTTTGCCAGCTGCCATGACATCTCAGAAGCTTCAAAAGAAACCAGTGGATTTCAAATTTGCCCTTCACAGCCTAGTTTTATAAAGAGAAACTCAGAGATTTCTTCTCCACATCTTCCCATAGGCCATGTAGAAACACTTAACCAGAATTCTCTGGAAGAGATGTTTCTTTTGCCAAAATACCGTGAGGTCACTGTGTAGGCCCAGTGCCTGCTTTAAATATCTTTAATGAAAATCTTTGAAATTCATGCAAGAAGCTATATTAGCCCCTTTTCTATTATATCACCAAAGCACCAGTCAATATCTGAGCTGTAACTTATGACAACAATATAAACAAAGCCCCACAAACACTAGAGAGGAGCACAGAGCAAGAGTCCTGGAGAGAGCTATCTTGCTTGACCACAGTTGTAATAAGGCACTTTGTCACTAATGGACACAGAAGAGCCCCCTTCCTCTCCTGAACATTACCTGCCTCATCTTCTCACCAGGTGCATCAGTTTCCTGGGTGTCTCAAAATGAAAGGGATTAAAATGTGTTATGGACATATACGAACTCCACACAAGAAATGTAAAAATTATGTACTGCAAACATGTACAAAAAATCAACATAACAGAAAAGAAAAAAGGATTTACCATGGCCCCAGTGACTATAAAGTTACTTGCTTATGGCTCTGGGGGCTACAAGTCTAAAATCAAGGTGTCTGCCAAGCCATGCTTTTGCCTAAATCTCCAAGGGAGAGCCCTTCCTTGCCCCTTCCAGCTTCTGGTGGTCTCAGTGTCCCTTAGCTTGTGACAGCATTGCTCCAGTTTCTGTCACCACCTCCTCATGGTCTTCTTCCTGTGTGCCGGTGCGTCCCGGTCTCCACCTCCTTTCTCTTACAGACACTAATTTGGTGTTTTCATCACAGAGATCCTGAAGCGTCTACACTGTGAAATCTGTATTCCAAATTAAAATGCCTTCCGAAGTTCCAGGTAGGCTGCTATGAGAAGAGACTCTGCAACTGTTTGCTCAACACCCAGCAACTTGGAGGAACTAAATTTTCTGTTCAAAGCACACATTCCAAATTAAAGTGCCTTCCGAAGTTCCAGGTAGGCTACTATGAGAAGACCTTTTATCCCTGTGGCCTGGCAAATCTCCCTTCTCCTGCACTGCCTGCTTCCCTAGTGCTTCTGGGAGACGTGGGGTGCCTGGAGGCTGCATTTTGGGTCAGAGTGCCAGCAACCTGCTAGGCATCTTTCCCAGGTGCTGTGCCCGCTCCATGTCTGCCAGTCTTTCTCCCAGTGGAACCCAGGCGGGCTGGCTTCATGCCGGCTCCCACCTACTCTAGGGAGATACCTGTCCATCTCTGGGGCTCCCTTCTCCATGGAGGACTCTGCAACTGTTTGCTCAACACCCAGCAACTTGGAGGAACTAAATTTTCTGTTCAAAGCACATTTTTCCTGACTATAAAGGAAGGCAAGTTCATGACAGAGTGAGTTACATTGAAATAGTAAAAAGATAAAATTCATCACTGATTCCACAGCAGAGCGGTAACCACTACTGCCATTTAGATGAATTCCCCAATGATTTTTCTCTTGAAATATGTAATCCACTTTTTAAAAGACATTGAGGCAAGACTGTACATATTGCTTCCCAGCATTCTTGGGTCTCTGGTTCACAGAAGTGGATGAACTCAAAAATATTTGTATGACATAATTAGGGACACAATAGTCAAGAATTAGATTTTCTTTTTTAACTTGCTATTTTCACAATATCTATTCTAATTATTCTTGATATCACTAAATATTCCCTAAAACTCAGTTTTAATGACTACTTATTATTTGATGTTGTACATGTGTTGCAATTAATTTAAATAATTCCATGTTATGGATATTCAAAGGGAGATTGAAAAATACAGCAAATGTTTAAATTTAAAAACTGATTACTGTGAGACACAGTTCCATTAATCTCTTCCAAAATATACCCCCTTACTTTGAACACACTTATCTCACCATTTTTACCTTTCTGAGCAGTTCTGGTTTTTGAGTGGACAATTGATTACATCCTCTACTGTGTTATGTACCACTAATGGTGTAGCGATTTCTGTGCAATAAAAGCATATGATGTATCCTCATCCATCGTATTTGCTGGATGTAGTACCATGTGATTTCTGACTCTTCCCCAAAGTCAAAATAAACGCGAAAGGTAAACATTATGAATCAGTTCAGGACATTAAGGCAGCCACAACAGCACAGCTAAAGACACTGATGAAAGATTTCCAGAGCTAGTTCAGAATGTGGCAAGAATGACGGGATGAGCATACTTGAAACAAAGGGAGGCGTTTTGAGGTGGACAAATGGGCAACATGTCTTTTACACATTAAATTTTGTCTAAAAATATTTAAACATTCACCATATTTTTTTATCATATCATGTATGGGCCAAATCCAATAAAAAAAAATAATGCATAGCTTTATTCACAAACTTTCTTGAATAGCTTTGATAATTACGTTAAAATATACTTAATCACATGATAAAAGTTTTTTTTTAACTTTTTAAAAACAATAATTTATTGCTTTTCCTTCCAAAGTATTGTGAAGTTACAAAAAAGAGCAAAGTTTACAGACTGCTTAGTTCATACTAAGAATGCAAGAAGTGAGGCCCTGCCCGTGTGGCCACTGGCAGCTGCTTGCCCTGACATTTAACACCAGCTTCCTCAGACTTGCATTACTACCTTCGGAGCCTCACTCCTTTCTACACCGTTTCATGACATACTCAGTTCATCAGTCAAGTCACTGGAATGGTAGAGGGTTTGGGTTTTGGGGAGCTGTTTTTGCCTTCCTGATATAAAAATGAAATTTTTAGTTCATTTCTGAAAAATAAATTGGTCAACAAATTCATTTTGTTCTGCTTCTACTTTACACAAAGCTTCATATTCAACTCGATGCTATTCTAGCTGCCTTTTCCTTTCTGCTATTAGTGCTTGAAGTTGCTACTTTGGGCTTCTCTCTGCTTTGCTCTAGATCTGAGCAAGTTCTGAGCACCAATGACCTTCATCTTCTCATTTTCTGCTTCTTTTGCAAGTTGGTCAACAAGCTCAATTAGACCACCAACTCTTTTCTGAAACTGGCCATTTTTTTCCCCACAAAGCCCTCGCGCTCTTCCTTGAGCTCTGCGGTCTGCTGGGTCCAACGCCCGCAGTTTATTCAGCTCATCAAGGTGCAACCTGGGGTCACCCAGGACATCTTTGGCCATAGCTGTTTCCCTTCCAGGTGTGGAGGGGTGACGGGGCAGTCAGGAGGAGGCGAGTCAGGAGCAAAGGTCGGGAAAGAGTAAAGTCCAGTTGCTTGGTGCAGGCTTCCTTCATTCAACACACATTTCCTGAACGCCTACTACGTGCCAGTACGGCTAGGTGCGGGGGGGGGTACACAGATGAATGCCACGTGGTGCCCGCCCTGTAGGCGCACACAGTTCAGCTGCCGACCCCGCAAAGGCGGCGTGCTTTGGCCCAGGCTGCTATTGCAGGCCGCCGCTTTCCCCGGTACAGGGCAATCAGAAAAGATTCCGCCCGCCTCAGCCGCTGCAGCGCTACCTTAACTTTTTGATACACAGTGGTGCCTCCGTTCTCAAACTTAAATTTGTTCCACAATTCTTGGGAAGATGATTGTGTTTGTGTTTGCCACCCAATATGAAGTTCACAAAGGAGGCAAAAGTTTGCTGAAAGCTTCTGTTCGCAAACTGAGTTGTTTGCAAACAGAAGAGTTTATGAACTGAGGTATTACTGTATGTAACAAAACCCGTAAAAAGCATATAAAAATTTATAATTGTACCACCTGCTTTGTCTTCTTTTCCCCCAACACTGAATATCAGCTTTATCAGCTTTGACTAACTTGAAAAACAATGTTAGTCTATTACATTTTAATTTGTATTTTTCTCTTTAGTGAGATGTGAGATTCTAATATATTATGAAATACTATATTTGTTGATTTTAACTGACTGAATTCTTATTCTTTCCTTTTTGTTTCTAGTGGGGTGGTTATTTTTCAATAATTCATTTGTTCATTTAACTAATTACCAGTGAATGTTTATAGTGTGTCAGATAGCACCTAGATTTACACAGTAAAGTACTGGGGGAAATGTGGGTGTTAAATATCTTGTTTTCTGCTTTTAAGGAAAATTACATTTGTTTTCTCACTAATTTGCAGGGTGTTTTTAATATGTTAAGGCTATTGACCCTTTTCATGTGTTATTAATATTTTCACAAATTTTCCATTTGTACGCTTTGAGTATGGTAGTAGTTACTGTCTTAGGGACCTTTAGAAAGGAAGTTTATCTGAAATTGCTTTGGAAGGGGAGCGAAGAAGTTTGTACTGGGTTCGAATTTCCTCCCTAAATTCACTTCCCATTCACTTGCAGTTTTGCTCTTTTCAAATAAATTTTCCATGTGTGTTTTTATTCTGATAGATGCCATGAAGCTTTAGAAGTTTACTACTTTCCAAACGGTAATTAATTATTCTAGGACTGTGTATTAATGATCTGTCACATGTTCGCTGTTTAGCAGCTCAGATTTATTATCCACTAACATTTTGTTAACATCAGGGTCTAAGCTTGCTATTCTGTCCCATTATTCTTATTTTTCTTGGGGCAATGGTACAGTCTTCATTGGGAAGGAGTATTTTAAATATGCTAATGTGATTCCTAGCATTTATTTCTTTTATTCTTTTGGCTATTTTCACTACATTTTTTTTTTTTTTTTTTTTTTGGATACAAGTTCACTCTATTAAGACCAAACAATACCGAATAGTTTCTCTGGTGTGAATGAACTGTAATAGTACATAAGATCCTAATGAGATAATTGACAATGTGAAATGGGAAGAAAAAGACTAAAGGTGTAGGGGAAGGGGGAAGGGTAGGGAAAAGCTAATGAGGGAAAAGAAAAAAATATTAGAAAATGAAAAAATGGAAATGAATTGTTTGTAAAGCGGGAGGTTTATTGTTGTATGAAGTTTATTTTCACTGACCTGTGTTCCCAGCTAGTAAGTAGTTCTCCCTAACTATCTTTTGCTCCACTGTCCTTTCATATACCTGACCCGTATCCCCACCTTACAGGACCACATTAGGCAAACCTGTCAATTTAGAAATTCTGCCTCATAAACCAGAAGAAATGTGGACCCAAAAGAAAGTTGCTTAGAAGTTAAATAAGATGGAAAGAAAGAAGTCTTGAGTTTCCAATCCTAATTAGAGTTTCAAATTAGCAGTATAAATTCATAAATAAAAACAAAAATCTATTTCTATTTTATTAAAGTACTATAAATATTTTCTACAGTTTATTGCAAAAGCAAAGTATTTCAGATGTTTTATGATTATTTTAAGATTTGTTGGTTGGTTGGTCAGATATAGCATTATGCTAGAGAGCAGAAAAAATATAAGTTCCCTGACATTCTTATTTAATATTATGAGAGATCCATTTGGTTCAGACAGTCATTTCCTGTAGCTTTTCACTAAGGATATCTGCATCCTCTGCTTGTGCCACCACAGCTGTCTAGCTTGCAACATTTGTTACTTTCAGTCACAATCTTTGTATACCTGTTTACCGAAAAATAGGTTTAAATGCAAGATCACAAGCAAATGTGCTATTGGTTTGTATGAGCTTTGGAAAAAAATAAAAACAATAAAGTGGCCCAAATTTTCCCGAGAGTATCAGCAGATAGGGAGTTATCTTTATTATCCATGAACCTTGATAAAACTGAATTTAAATCTGATTATCCAGTTATAACCATAAAAGCTTGCTTAAAATGTTTTGCAGTCCATTCCAAATAATGTAACTCACAGAAAGCCAAGGAAAACATTAGGTATTCATTCTTATCTCGCTTGGTGCTTAGAAATAGGTCAAATTTCTTACCCAGAGGGCCAAAGCAATGTTGTCTGTGACCACAGTAGTTTTGAATTGTTTGATCTATTTTGTTTCTCTTGAAGAACTGGATTGAAGCAAATAAGGTATCTGTTAGGTAAAGGATTATGTCTCATTCCAATGGAAAATAAAAGAGTATACAATTGTGCTGATGAAGACTGTTTGTCAAGGATCCAGCCAGCTGTGTAGCTAGGCAAGCATTCTCTGACTCTACTATATGGTGCTGTGTATGTTGTGCATTGTATTGATCTCAGCCTTACCCTTTTGAATGATGAGATTCTCCATCTTAGGGACGCAATGTCTCTGGCGATCAGAGTGAGGGTTGAGATGTGAAGGGTGCTGTGTAAATGTAGAACTTCCCTGGTGTCTCTAAACCCTACCCCACTCAGAGAATCACTAGGGACTGTTCCATGGGTCGCAGTACTTGAACATGCCTTTCACTGGATGCAAATGTGATTGTTAAAAAATGTGTGCAGATCAGAAGTTCCCCTGGGAATACCTCACTCCCAGGGTGCCAAGGCCAGAAAAGCTGCCTCAACTCTTCAGACAGACACTGGACCAGGGGGATACATGCGGTCATTACTGGTCAGTGGGTCTTTAATTCCACAGAGGTCCTCTTCAGAATTCTCTTTCCAAAGTCTTTGAAGTGTCTCATTTTCCCCCCTGATTTCAAGTGGCAATTGCTCCACAAGTGGATATAATTTCATTTATATGTAAATGAAATTATATTTTCATCTACGTTTCAATTGAAGCTGAGAAAATTCACTGTCTAGCTTATTAGATATGAGAAATTAGCTGAAAAAGTCTTCTTTCATAGAACAAAGATAGAATTCTAACTTTTATTTATGCTTCTTAAGGTAAGGGTATGATTATATTGAATTGGACTTGTGGCATTATCTAAAATGTCTGCAGTTTTCTTACTCAGCAATTTTTGGTCCACTTTTCTCATTAAAAGTTCATAAATTCTTGGTCTCACATTTCCTGTTTTTTCTGATTCCATGTTCACAGCTGGGTCACTATACATTTTGCTTGGCAATTTCAGGAGATAAATACTGTTAGGAGAGCTTCAGTGAATGTACATTCTACCTGGACTTCATGGAGATTCTTGCCTTTTCTGTTGTCTTGTTGATGTTTAAAATCATTTTGAGTTCTTATTTTTTTCTAGATCTACATCCCTCTCATGTAAAATGATAATAGGAGTTGGAAAAACTTGAATGACATACAGACTCCAGTGGTTCTACATCAGGGTTATACGTACAATTAAAATATGTGCAGTATAACTTGAAGATTAAATGGATAAATGCTCAGGAATATATGATGAAATTTAGGCTTTTATGGAGTGAACCAATTCAAAATAAATGACTTGTCTTTAATGTTAGGTATTAACAGGCTGCTATAGTTTAGATCTGGGTATCCCTCAAAGACTCCAGTGTTAAAAGCTTGTTCTGCAAACCTTGGAGCCATTGGGGAGAGGTAGAAACTTGGCCTACAGGAAAGTCTTTAGGTCAAGGGGGACGTGCTCCAAAGAGAACAAGAGACCCCGCAGCCTCTTTGTCTTCCTCTTTCTACTTCCTGGCCAGGAGGTAAATAGTTTTGCTCTGCCATTTACCCCCTGCCTTGATATGCTGCCTTGCCATAGGCCCAAAGCATATTGCAGACTGGAAACTGTCATTAAAAATGAACATTTTCTTTTTATAAATTGATTATCTCAGGTAATTGTTAGGGTAGTGGAAAGCTGACTAATACACAGTCTAAATTTAATTTTTAAAATATAGCCAAAAATGAATGTGGCCCTCAGAAACAACAGCAATATTGACACATTTTTTTTTATAATGTGCTAAACGCTTTCTGTATAGCAGTCCACGAACTATCACAATAACTTTAAATTGGAAACTATTAGCCCTATTTCACAGCTGAAGAAGCTGAGGTGCAGGAAGGATAAATAACTCACCCACAGTCCCATAACTGGCAGTGGCAAAATCAATTTTCATACTCACGTCATCAGACTGTGCTTGAGTTCTTGACCAGTATGCAGTGCTGCCCCTAAAGCTTATTCTAGGCAAGCACCTCACCTAAGCTTTTACTATCAGATGAGTTTTATGACTGATTCACATAGTTATGCAAGATGGAACCACAGAAAGTTTCACCCTAAGAAAGTAATGCCCTAAACTGCTTCTTGTCCCTAATGTAATCTGCAGACAGAAATTCCAGAGTTAGCATTCCAAGGGCCAGGATTTAGCTGCACAAAGTCCTGAGTAAAAAAGGCATTTCAATATTTAGCAAATAAAAATACAGGGTGCCAATATGAATTTAAATTTCAGGTAATCACATGCTTTTATATAAA